GGGAGAAGGGAAAGGAAGCTGTGCTGGCTTCTGCTTGCATATACTGAGCATCCATATTTAGGGTTATGCCTGCAGAGGCCCAGGGTGGAGAGAATCACAGGGCATGTAATGGAATTGGGCACTGGCCTGAAGAGTCACTGGGCTCCATCCTGGAAGTATGAGCAGACAAGGCTTAAGCTGGCTGCCAGGCACGAAGCTGTGGTATAAATCTCAAGCTCCACATACCCAAGTGGCTTGAGAAGATACAGAAGCAGCTAGCTAAGGCTCCTCTAACTTCTGCAGCAGGGAGACCATGTTCTGAGATTTGAGAGTGTATCGACCCACAGCCCTGGTTTCTGTCTACAGATGGACATTGTGCTTGTCACTCATATGCACACACGCTTCTCTCCTATTATTTCCACCATCTTTAATCTCTCCCTTGCTCTCTCTTTTTGGCCTCTCTTTTGCCTCCTCTTTCCCCTTTTCTCTTTCTTGCCGTTTTACCTCTGGGAAGCCCACAGTCTGAAGACACACCAGTGTGCTGCTTTCTGTATGTTCTATTCAACTGAACAAAAACAAAAATCCCCACACTTTCCTCTGTGGGAATGAAGACGCTGCCCTGGGGGTTCAATGCAGGTACAATACACTGTTGTTGTGAAGTGCCGTAGAGTCAGTTCTGACCCATAGCGACCCTGTATAGGGTTTCCGAGGAGCAGCTGGTGAGCTTGAAGTTCAAACGGCTTTGCAGTCTGGCACATTAACTCACAACGCCACACCAGGACAATACACTGATGGCCATGGGGAAATATGCATCTTAAAATCCTCACTGAAAGTCAAGGCTCTCTCCATCTCATGATTCAAGATTGGGGCTGATATTTCCAGGGAGCAGATCTCTCATCTACATGAGCTCAGAGACAAAAACTTTACAAACTGAATCAGTGTCTTAGCTCTGTCCTATAGGGGAGATGGAGTCCTGGTGTGGCACTGAGAGTTAATGCACTGGACTGCAAGGTCGGTTTGAACCACCAGGGTGGCTGTTCAAGCTCACCACCTGCTCCTCAGAAACTCTATGCAGGGTCACTGTGAGTCGGAACCACCTCCACAGCATTTAACAATAGAACAACAATAAGGGAGATGGTGGTGGCAGAGAGTATCTAGGATCACTGTTCCTTGTTAGACTGCAGGACAGGATGGAATGATGAATAGTCAGCCTATGGGTGACTCCCCATAAGGGTCCAGAGATTACTCCTGTTGTCACAACAAGTTGCTCATCCACTTCCCTCACTACCTCTACTCAGAGGAAACTTGGTGGTATGGTGGTTAAGCACTCGGCTGCTAACTGCAATGTTGGTGGTTTGAACCCACCAGCAGCTCTGTGGAAGGAATAGGCCTGGTAATTTGCTTCCATAGAGAGTACAGTCTGGAAACCCTGTGGGGCATCCTCCTCTGTCTGATAGGGTCTCTGAGATGGAATCAACTCATCAGCTATGGGCTTTATACAAACGTGCGTGAGCACACCTACATTTACTTTTGCAGAATTGGCTAAAGCAGTCCATCCCCCTCCAAAAAGATGAGTGATACTATCCACATGGTCTTGCCTCTGTGGGGTGGGTTTTGATAGGTTTAGTGAGTAACACCAACACAGGAAATGAATTAGAAATAGTTAAGTTATTTTAATTAGTTTCTTTTTATTCTCTGGAAAGCAACTGTTATATAATTTTTTGCATTGATGTGGGTATGGCAAGTACTGGAGATAAACTGAAACAAGAGAATGAAGGGAGAAAATATCACTCATATCCTCAGGAACCAAAGGCCTACTCTTGACATTTTTCTATACTTCCTTCCAGAGTTTTGTTTAGTTTTGCTTTTTTGCACTTTCAAAAAAGTTTTTTATTTTGTATCCCATCCTTGCCTTTCAATATTATAACACATGATTTTCCCACCATAGCAATTCTTCCTTATTACTAACTCATTTTGATGGCTTTGAGATATTACTTTGATGGATATAACATCATTTACTTCAGTTTTTCTGATTTTTGAAAATGTAGGTTGGTTTGACCTGCTATTATTATGAATTCTTATGTGAAGATCAATTCAGGGCATAAAATTAATAAGAGTGCCTTGAGATTTTGATGTGTGTCAAGTTATGCTTGGAGTCTTGGTGAGGCGCTGTAGGATAAGCACTGGACAGCTAACCACAAGGTAGGCAATTCAAACCCACCAACTGCTCCTAAGAAACCCTATACGCAGTCACGATGAGTCAGAACTGACTTAACGACAGTTAGTAATAACAACATGGCAGACATTGGGTTGGACCTATGGGGAATATACATGGTCTATGATCTCAAGGCACCAGGAATTGATTGAATACAAATTGAAATCTTTCAGGAAAGTGAGGCAGCACAGGAGGCACTCACTCATCTCTGCCAGGAAATTTGGAAGACAACTGTCTGGCCGACTGATTGGAAG